GTCCGGGATGCCAAGGCGATGGCGGCGACGCCAGCCGACATCAAGGAGTATCCTAACTCCTACGTCTTCGTCGTCGACATGCCGGGGCTGAAGGTCGGCGACATCAAGGTCCAGGTTGAGGATGACAATGTGCTGCTCATAAGTGGGGAGAGGAAGAGGGAGGAGGACAAAGAGGGGGCCAATGCCGCCAAGTACGTGAGAATGGAAAGGAGGGTTGGTAAGTTTATGAGGAAATTTGTGCTGCCGGAAAATGCCAACACCGATGCCATCTCCGCCGTGTGCCAGGATGGTGTGCTCACTGTCACTGTGCAGAAGTTGCCACCACCTCAGCCCAAGAAGCCCAAGATCGTTGAAGTCAAGGTCAATTGATGGGGGCCACAAGTACCAGGAATTACTGTGCTGCTGCTTTGGATCAAAAGTTTTCAGAACCTAGTATAGGGGTTTATCATGCCATGGGCCATGGCTTTTTTATCTTTTTTTGGGGGTTTTGGTTCTCTGTGTCGTAATTCCTGTAATGTGGGTTTCCCTGTAGTGTGTGCTTGAAGATTTGTGTTGCTGAATATTTTAAAGTTTTCTCAGTAAAGTCTATCTTTTTACTACTACACATGCAAAAATAGCAAGCCGCTAAGCAATATGCTAGAATCAGAAATAGGAGAAATTCCTTGCCTCGAATTCTTGTTTCTACTAACCTGAGTACAGATGTTGAAGTCTCTTTCCAACTAATCATTGTAAGGCCGCTAACTGGATCCAATAGTCTCCAAGCGGTGTGGTAGAGCATTCTTCGTCTTCAATCTTTCCTTCAAGGCTCTTTGATGCACTGAAAAGGTTATGATACATTCTTATCAGATAAACAACATGCTTTTTACAAGAAACTGAAATCCAACCTGTAATAATCTTTCGGTAATTTAGACGGGCTGTCTGATTAATGGAAAGAAGGCTTAGGATAAGATGAGATATTTATAGGCAAAAAGGGCTGTAACTGAAAACTAAACTGCCATCTAATCTTTAATCAATAACCAGATTAATACTAACTGTCTAATCAGTCTAAATAACATGGTTAATACATCATTGGCTTCTACTATGTTTCGGTTTGGAAATAATCAAGTTCTTGTAATACTTTTTGGTGGAGTACAGTTTTTTCTCCATCGAGTCCTCAACGAATGTGTATACAACCACATTTTGAACATCCTCGTAGGAGGACATGCTACTGCCCAATGGTCCCTGATGTTTCCACCACGATTTCTAGAGCTTTTATCTCTATTTGAAGTTTGGGGAAATGAGTGTGTCGTGTCCTGCTTCCTCTTAAATAGAGCTATAAAGAACCCTTCTTTGTCTTCAATGGGATCGGTTCGAAGTAAATGATTAGCTGCAAGATGAGAACATGGTCTATTATGCTTTGCCATGCTAAGAAAGTCATCAAATAGCTGTTTTGAACAGGGCGAGTTATAAAAAAACAAAAAAATCTGTTGTTGACTTGTTGGAGAATGGTACTTACCGCCTACAAAAACTGGGAGACCTCGCCGCTGCCACCGCGGGAATGGAGTCTCCAGTTCAAAACCATGCGATTCAGCAAGAGGTAATATTGACTGGACAACATCTTCGTTTTCAATTTGATGAATGGAACAGGTGCTGTAAACAATTCTCTCTACAGCTGGAACTGCAATGAGAAGAAATTGGTCACGAGCAGGGTATAAAATAAGTTTGTGTCGTAGGAGTATACATAGCTCATTGGGAACTCTCTGAATTTGCATTGTTTGCTTCTAATTTTTCAATGTTTTAACTACACTTTCTTTTTAGCCCTATCAAAATATAAGCACAACGAGATGAACTCACAAGAAAATGCATGTGCCAGAGCCTTTCTCTGAAAGGCTGCAAGTTTGTTCAGTCGTTCAAGGTCAACATCTTCAGAGGTCTTGCCTGCACAATTCAAGACGATAAGATGGAGGTAGCAATAACCAGAAGAAGATATTGCAGATAATAAATTAAATATTGTGCCAATTAATACACGAAGCAAGGAGTTACCTTCAACATGTGATGGGAGCAAATGATCTAATCTAGCAGCTGCAGTTCCAGATCCAGAGCAGGAAGGATCCAAAAGAATGGCACGGACCTTAAAAAAGCAAAAGAGGGTGATGCCAACAACAGAACATTTTCTAGTTGAATATCAGTACGCCGTGGCAAAAAATTAGATTTTGTTCTCCCACCAAACTAGGCCCTATTAGAAATTGCAAAGAATTCCAATCCCCAAGCAATGATGGCTAAGGCTATTATTTATTATTTCCATCATTCTGTGAAAAAATAGAGCATGTTATTAGGGCTTGAAGGAAAAAAAAAAAATCTCCGTGGAGGTGAGCAGAACTTACTTTGGATAATGAAGGATCTTTTGGATTAAGATTAAGGAAATCCCCATGCAAAACTTGTATATCTTGCACCAAGGTTAAGGTTAATCGAGGTAACATAAAAGTTATTGGAAAATATTGTAGTTGGAATATTAGATTGCAATACATAGAGAGTTGATGTATACAACATCCAGATGCAGACAATAGTATCAACAAAGGATACTAGACGCTCCAGATAATTTGATAGTATCTTGTAAGCGTCTGACCCTGTCTTCATTCAATTCACATGCTATGATCCTTCCTTTTCCATTCATGAGAGAGGCAAGGTGGACAGTTTTGTTACCCGGAGCTGAACATGCATCAAGGACCTTCAATAATACGAAATATTAAAATGGAAAATCTTAGTGCCTAAGTAATTATGCTACAGGGAGGATTGAGAAAGCTAAAAGATGTGGTAGAGAGATGAAAAGAATGGAGGCAATAAGAAAACATGAGGTTGTTGCTCCAGAATAAGTTCGAGCATCTGGTAAAACGTTAAGTTTGTTCAACATTACTTAAAATTCAATTAGAGGTGAAAAAAATGAGTAAATAGAAGCTCAGAAACCATAGAAATGGATCCAAAGTGAACTGGATTGTAAATACAGGTGAGATAAGCTTACTTCCCACCCTGGCTTGGGATCAAGGGCTACTGCAACCATAGAACTAGCCTTCCCCTACATACATCAATACCCTCCTGTTGTTAGACAACAAAAAGAAAAAAACAACTTCCCTTGACCTTCAATACATGCTTCATATAAAATGGACTAGGAAAAAGTTAAAACTAAGAGACTTACTTGCATGAAGATACTCCCATTTGCAACCAGAGGATGATCGTGTAAATCACTGCCTGGGGGAAGTACCAAGAGGTCAGGAACCATGTCATCCTTGTGGACCTATTTGACATGAAAAAACCAGCACCATTAAGGAATTAATTTAAGGCATCGTGATGGAATGCAAACCAACAACAAAACTCAGGACAGATCTTATCCCTAAATCCATTATGCATATTTTAAAAGGAATAATTGGGATGCACTTAGAATAATTAATAATTTATAAAATGATGGAGTGTTCAATAAGTGAAGCTATTCCTGTAATGCATGTCTATTGAACTCTACCCTACTGGCATACCCATCAACAACATTTAGGAAAGATCTTGGAACTCACTGCATATCTTTTCCCTAATTCGCTTATTGCAGCATGAACATCCATCTTCAAAGTATTCACACGGATAAAACGGGGCCTTGAAACACCTGCACTGAAGGTTACCTCCTTAGAGCTGAACAGGCTCAATAGTAAATATAGTAGAAATCAGCACGGCAACAGATTCACACAGAACCCTCACCAGGATTTTTACCACGAACTATCAAATCTTCAATACTACTTGCTTTTCTCTTTGACAAAAGCTGTGTAACCACAGATTGTAAAACACTTTGCTGCCGCATGAGGAACTTCTCTGCATCACCAGCTAAAGGAGCTTTCTACGCATAGTTCCCATAAAATATTACCAATCAGCATCAAATGTAAAATAAGCGAACTGCAGATTCTCAGTAGCAGAAGTTTCTTCACATTTATTAGATTCTTTATTGTAACAACTACTTATCTAAGTTTTTTCTACTAATAGCTCGCTCTTAACCTCCCACGTAAAAAAATGTTCACATTTATTGAGCATTGAACTGCATGAGCTAGCCCCCAAACTCCTAGCAAACCCAGTAACACTTGATGATATAAGTCCAGTTCAAACCTATGCGATTAGAGTTATTACAGTAGATAGACAAAACTGATTTCAAGTGAGTGAATTTAAAAAGGTGCTGACCGTCGGCAGTGGATTCGAACAATAACCAATCCTCCTCCCGTTTCTCCGACCATCATAAAATATTTTCATAGTTGACATTTTAACGAGAATTTCTATTATTTTAAACTACCATTTCTTTTAAAGCTGCGATAAACATGTAAATAGAGTACCTGGCCCAGGAGGATATCATACATGATGACATAAATTAATTCCTTCTGCCTCTGCAACAATATCGGGTAAATGTTACGGCTACGGTATATTTGTAGTGGTGAGAATGCCATACAGCATGTGCAAAACAAATGAATAACAAATCATCATAATAATGGAGTAACTATCATCAGAACAGATTCAAGAGCAGCTACAAAGAATATGCACGAGTACCTTCCACTTGTTGCTCAATAGATCGGCAGCCTCCAGTACATCCTTGATTACAGGGAGGTCTAATAATTCAACAAAAGCAAAAGAAGGTATTTTATTTCATCCAGCGATCTACAAACTTAACTTCCAGTTACAATATTCAGTACATGGATAAATCTCATCAACGACCCAGCGTGACAGGAATAATACCGGATTTTAAATGCTAAATGCGACATCACTGCAAATATCAACTCATTTCAGAGGAACGACGGAAAAACTAATTTACCGAGCTTGGCATAGTAACGATTAATAAGTTGATATTCGAACGCTAAGCGAATGTGCCACTAAAACCAATAGTTCTTTCAGCTGGTACGTGATAATTGGTTTGCAAATCATTTTCAGTTTTTATTTTTTGACGGGATGAGCATTTGATCGGAACTTACACTTGAGTGTCTTGCAAACAAGAGCGAATGTCCCCTTCTTATTCCTAACAGAGGGAGCATAGACGAGTGACTTGATGGAGGCGACGGCTCGACGTTGAGCATCTCCTTCAAGAACACGCCGTAAGATCTTCGCTGCCTCTCTCCTCGCGAAGTATGCCGAACGCGCGGCGTTGCTCAGCCGCCGGATGTCCGATTTACCGGCGGTTCCCGGCGCCGATGCGTTGGTTCTGTTGTTGACGCGCCCCATGGCTTCAGAGAAGACACTCCGTAAGGTTTCCTGAGCCCAATTGTATCATCGAATTCACGTCGTAGTTAACTCCTGGGCCTCGGCCCAGCATGTTAAACTCCAGCTTAGTAGCTTAGTCCCTGTTGTGTTTTGTGTTTGACGGTAGTAGCGAAAGGGTATAAATGTAAATTTATTATTCATCTTTTTTTTTAAGTACAATATGATAGAGAAGTGATTCGAACTCACAACATTTTGGTTGAAGGTATTATTCATCCTTTAACCTAGTTGAGCGATGCTAAATTATAATTGTGTTTTTTCGACCTAACATTTTTTAGTTATATTTTTACTGTTAATAAATGTTAAATTGATAAACTTAGTCCACGTAATATTTAGTGACTGGCGTAAATTTAGATAATAGATTTAGGTGGTTAAGAGATAAAAATCTATAATTCCTTCTTCAAAATATTGAGAATGATCTAATTAGAGGGACGTTTATTCTCTTCAATGATCTAATTTCTACTTTAACAATGACACTCATAAGCAGAAGTCGTGGGATTTCGGGAGCCCCGGCATAAAGCATCACATCTCTCTTTTCATGCACCATTGCATGACCCTCTTTGGTCGCTAAAAAACAACCCCAATTGTCGATTGCTTCGATCCGCACATCTTCTAGAGTTGAGGTTGAACAGGTGTACTCAATAAAGGAAGCCTTCCGACCCGGAATATGCCTATTTCGCTTGTTCGGATTGGGAAAGAGTGGGCACCCGCAAAATTGGAAAACAAATCACAACTTCAACTGATTCATGCTTCGGATCACAGGTATTCTTACGAGATCTATAACTTTGAGCAATAACTTTGACCAGATAGTAAAATGGTAGTTGGCAAGTTGTTCGCGTAGAAGCTGAAAGACAATAAGAGTAGATGAAATGAAGCGAATTAAAGTGGATTGCAAAGAAAAGTATCTAGGTAATCAACACTTTTTTTTTAATACCATAAATTTTTTTAGAAGTATGAGAGAAAAACACACGTTAAAAATTTATATTTTCAAGAGATAAAATTATGCTTACTGGAAGTAGATATATATTTTACTTATCACAACTAAAAAGTTGACAAGTATAAGAGAGGTATAAGAAATACTGAAAAAATAAAATAAATAGTCGTGAATTTTTTAATTGTGGTAGGTAGAAAGATATCTATTTATTAGTAAGTTATTTATTTTTTAACGTTATTAATGGTTCATTTGGTAACGTTTCTATTTTCAATTTTTTGTTTCTTTTTCCTGTTTATTGTTTCTAACTTTTTTAGAACTAGAAACATGGATGAGTTTGATAACCATTTCATTTTCTCGTTTCCAATAAACAATAAATAGAAACAAAAATATGTTTGATAACTATTTATTGTTTATTGTTTTAATTCTTTGTTATTTTAGTACACCAATTTAGGAGGGTGAGAATTTGAACTTGTGACATATTAATCTATATTATATACTCTAACAAATATTGATTTTTAAAATTTTTAGTTAAAATAAAATTTAGTAGATATAATAAAAGAAAAATGCTTGTTGTATGTTTATTAGATTGAATGCGTTTGAGAATAAGATATATTTGATTTTATTTGAAGATGTTTTTTAGGATTCATATGAATATATAATGTTTACGTGTGTTTTCTTCTTTTGGTTCACAACGGCCGGTAGATATGAAATTATTGACCATTAAAATGGTAATAATTATGTACGATCTACCTAATTGTGCTTGAAGAGACGTAATTTTGTGTTTGTTTTGTGATGATTAACCATGATAATCCTATACAACTATGACAAAGTAATTGATGAATCAATCAATCAATACAAATTAATTGATTTTAGGTCATCAATAAATAAATTTTATTGAAAAATTAAATACATTTATAAAAACCAACTAATTTTTTTGGAAAATTAAAAACCAACTAACTTAGGCTCTATTTGACAACAATTATTTGTGTTTTTGGCTTTTGAAAAATCAAACCTATAAAGATGAATTTCATCTGTATATTTATTTGTCTCGTTTATCCACTTAAAATAAATTTCAAAATCTAAGCTAAAATTTTAAAATTATAAAATAGCTTTTAAAAACATGTTTTGATATTTTAAATTTGGCTAAGAATTCAAATATGTTGTGTATAGAAACTAAATAATTTGTGAAGCTTTACGCGTTATTTTTAGAAAGAAAAATTTAGAAATGAAATCATTATCAAATGGAGACTGGGTTAATATGAACATAATTGAACTGATAAAAGGTTATATTTGTGGAGTAATTTTAGAATAGGTGTTTTTAGCAAAAGTGATTTAATGGTAATTACTATTCCAAGAAGCGTTTAATAACATTATATTTGAAAGAGAGAGAAAATTAAATGAGAGTTAGATACGAGATTTTAAGAGAGAAGAAAGTTATCGATAGGGGACCTTTGCAAATATGTCAAAAACATGTGGTAAAATTAGCAAAATAACAACCACATTTTTAGCTTTTTCAAATATAGCATTTTTTAAATTAAGAAAAATGGATGTCCAATTTTAAAATGACAAATTTACCCAAATGATATAAATCTGTAATATATTTACTACTAATATATGTATGTGATTTACATTTGATATATTACTGATATGACTGTYTGATATACTTGTAATATAGATGTAATATACATATGATATACTACTGATATGAGTATCTATGCAATATGTATGTGATACACATCTAATATATTATTGATATGAATGTCTGATGTACTATTGATATAAGTGAAATTTTTTGTTATATTTGAAAATTTTAAAAATAAAGAAAATAGATGATATATTTTAAAATATATAAAAGATTTTTRCTGCCTGTTGTAATTTTCTATGAACTACTAGGGAAAGATTGGGAAAATTTTTGGAAAAGAATAAAAGTAAGAGAGAGAGGTACACAAATTTTAGAGAGAGAACAAGTTAGAGAATAAGACAAAAAAATTGGGGAAACAAAAGTTAGAGAGAATGGTTACACAAATTTTAATGGGAGAAAACAGTTATATTTTCGAGAGGATTAGTTAGAAAGAGAGTGCAAATTTTAAATAGAGAAAAATTGGAGATAAAAATGTTAGAGAGAGATACGAGTTAGACTGAGGGGAAAAATAGAGAGATTACAAAATTTTGAGAGGGTGTAGCAAATAAAATCAGAGATAAATTAATTGAGAATGAGAGATAAAAAATATATATATATTATGAAGGAAGAACAATTTTTAAAATTTAAGATGAAAATATTGTGGAATAGAATAACAATATTTTGGAATTCAGTACAATAACAATTTTTAAAACTCTTCTTAATTAATTTTTCCCATAAAATAATTTGGAAATCACTTTTTTTTTTTGTTTTTTTTTGAGGAACCCTCGCTTTTTTAACCCTAGTTTTAGTTAATTAATACTTTTAATAACTAAACACAGTTCATATTTTAATATTCGATTAATTATTATTAATAACTATTTCAAGAGATTTACCGATCATAATAACGAAACACACCTAGAGATAAAAGTGTTAAATAATTTTTTTAAAAGCTCAGGGCTATTTAGAAGTTGGTTTCATTTGTATTTTTTAAAGAAGAAATTTAGGATTCCCTTAATAACATTTTTGTTTATTATTTATAGTTTCATATTTTCATTATTTTTTTTTAGAAATTTTGTATTTTGTATTTCTTATTTTTAAGAGATGTTTTCAAAATTTATACAAATTTTGAAAACAACAAAATAAAAATTTGTATTTGTATTTTTAGATTTTTATTTTTTCAAAATATAGATAAAAAACACTGTTTTTTTATTTATTTTTGACTTATAAAATGTATAATAAGTGTAAAAAATTAATATGACAAAATAGTCATGAATATTTAAATTTTCTACAATTTTAATTTAAATTTTGAGATAATAAGAAATAAAAAGTTATTACCCGAAGACGCTTTTTTAATAAAGAATGACAAAAAAAAAACACATAATTATCACTTATCACTTATAAGGTGAAATAATTATTTTATTGATTTAGAAAGAGAAAAATAATAAGAAATAAAAAGTTATTACCCAAACACACTTCTCTATTTTTTTAATAAAAAACGACAAACAAAAATAACACATGGTTATCACTTATCACGTGGAAGATAAAATAATTATTTTCTTGATCTAAAAAGAGAAAATTAATAAGAAATAAAAAATGACAAAGTAATTAGAAATAGTAACATTTAGTGTATGTCCTATCAAAAAGTGGTATTCGAATCCCAAAAATCCTAACCCATGCACCTATCGTTCTTGCTAAAAAAAATAAAATAAATATGTTAGGTGAGAATTGAGCCGTGGCAGTGGGGATCAACCTCATTCTGCATAAAGCCTGCCACGGGTCATGGTGGCAAGTGACGGAGATGACTAAGAATGTCCTTAACGATCTGTCAGAACTCGGACCTAGGTGTCCTCTTCAATCACTTATGGCATCTATGAAAATGATAGAATCTCACTAGTGAAAAATCATTCATCGTTGGAAGACCTTAGACAGGGCAACGTGTCCGACGATCCTATCCAAGGACACGTGTACCAACCGCAAGTCGGCATCAAGAAAATAACATATAGAAACGTTACCATATATCTGACAGTGATAACAAGTCGAATATTTGATCGCCCTTGCACAGAGCAGAGCAAATCGACTGAGCAAGAAAGTAGACGATGGCGATGGCAGAGATAAAGCAGATGCTGTACAACGCCGCCGTGCGTCTCGCCTTGGCTTCACTGGACCGAAATTTGTTGCCGGACGCCGTCATCAGAATCTTCACTCGCCTCTTACTCGCCGCTCGTCTTCGCTCCGGTTACAAGCCTTCCTCCCAACTCCAACTCTCCGATTTGCTCCGATTTCTTCATTGTAACGCCTCATCTCTCCATCAGAGTGTTTATTTTGTTCGGAAAATTATTAGGGAAACTGATTGTGCCTTTTTTCTGCAGCTTTGAGGGAAATGCCCATAGCTATTGAGACTGATCAGCCAAAAGCCCAGCATTACGAACTACCGACCTCCTTCTTCGAGTTGGTTTTGGGAAAGAATCTCAAGTACAGGTAACGAAAACATTCTTAGAAATCCTGGATACTACTCTGTATTTTTTCCGCCGATGATTTTATACCTGTTTTCATATTGTGATTGCATTTGCAATACGGCACACATTAAATGTTTGATTAATTGTTTCTGTAATAAGTTCCCAAAGTAAATGTTCTTCCGTAGATTGGTACAGTATATGACCTTATAGTTATGTATATAAGCAGGATAAATCAGTGTAATTGTGATTTGTTAAGGCTAACTCCCAGTTCAAGTAATAGATGTTATTGTTACAACAATAGTAGCATATCTAGAGCTTATTGTAGAGATCTGCGGTTAAATTCCATGCGAGTAGTTAAACAAAATACAAGAAAAAGAGCTCCAACTGCTTTTCACATGATAAATTGAGCTTCAAGTTTCCTAAATTCTGAACACTTTAATAGCCCTAATTATTCACATGATATGCTGTTGCAGTTGTTGCTATTTCAATGACAAGTCAAGTTCCTTGGAGGACGCTGAGGAGGCAATGCTACAAATGTACTGTGAAAGGTCACAACTGAAGGATGGTCACACTGTTCTTGATGTTGGATGTGGCTGGGGCTCGCTCTCATTGTACATTGCCCAGAACTATAAGAATTGCAGGGTAACCGGAATTTGCAATTCAACCACGCAGAAAGATTACATTGAGGAGCAGTGCTGGTAATTAGCTTTGTTTTATGTGCTTGAGTTTGCTTTTAGATTTGTCCATATCTTTGGTCAATAAGGGTTCTTATTGACTTTCCGACCTAGTTAGTAGTCACTGCCAAAAATAAGTTTCTTTTCGACATTTCAAAACATCGGAAGAAATCTTTACAAAGTATCGGAAGAAATCGTTACAAAGTCAGGAGTGACTTTTTCCAACGAAAAAAATACGTTGTAAAAGAGGAGCACTACCGTGGTCTTTTCTTGACCCTTTGAAATAGTCGGGAAAAGTTATTTTGCCCAACGGTTACAAAAGGTCAGGAAAAGTGATTTTTTCCCGACTATTTCAAACAGTCAAGAAAAGTAATATTTACTATTAAACGCAATAGAAATATACCAATAAAATACACTACATCAAAAAGTCAGTTGGAACCTGTATTAATTGTTGTGTAGGCAAATATAGTTGTTTTTTGAGTTAGTGTCTTTTAGGTTATTTTCCATGGTAAATAACTAATACGTGATTACAGGGATCTAGAATTGCATAATGTCAACATTGTAGTGGCAGATATCAACACCTTTGAAATGGAAGCTGAATATGACAGAATATTTTCCATTGGAATGTTTGAGGTAACTAATTCTCCAATGTAGTTACCACTTTTCATTTACTTATCCCTGTGATGACATAGTCAATAAATGTGATTTATTTTTAATTGAGTAGCATATGAAGAACTACAAGAATCTTCTAAACAAGATATCGGGATGGATGAAACAAGATAGTCTCCTCTTTGTTCATTATTTTTGCCATAAAGTTTTTGCCTATCACTTTGAGGTATGCTTGATTCAGATTTACATTTGTATATATATTTAATTACTTCATGGGTGTGGGACCATTACTTATTTTGTTGAATTGATTCAATACCTCTCAAGTTCTATTTATCAAATCTGGACCAATAGGCCCTACAAGAAAAATGGGTTTTAGAGACATCTAAAAGATGTCGCTGAAAACCCAATTTCGTCGCTAAAACTTTCAGCGACGAAACTCGGTTCGTCGCTACGGACGTCGCTGATACAACGTCGTTTAAAGTTTCAGCGACACGAGCTGTTGTCGCTGAAACCCTTTTTCAGCGACATCTTYCGTTGTCGCTGAAAACCATTTTCAGCGACTTCTAATATGAAATGTGGCTGAAAACCAATTTCAGCGACAACAGTAGATGTCGTTGAAAAGAGGGTT